ACGAGGAGACTTGTGTAGTTCGCCAAAGGGTTCCCACAAGCACGTTTTTAGTATCATTTCTTTATCCCCACAAGTGATACATCAACTGCGTCCAAAATGTCACTCGGCAGTTTGCAAAGAATACCATTCGTAATCAAATAACAGGTTTTTATAATTACTGAGCTGCATTGCAACTAAAGTAGGCAGTTCCGTTGTTTCCAACCGACTCGCAGCAATAAATAAGCAATTTTTGGTTGGGAAAATTCACCATAGAGTGAGATAATGCACATAGGGTGTGGTCACGGAGGATTGAGGYRTCCTTAATAATCTTTGATGACCGTCGACGCACATTTCGAGTTGACCTGTCTAATACGGTTTCACAAAATTATAACAGTCTGCKCGCGTTGATTGGTTGATGGCAAGARSCAAAGGRTAGAGTTACTCATCGCTGGTTGGMCAATTATAGTGTTTATAGAGTGAAGTTGAAGTTGTAATGTGATATCATGAAAATGAAACAGTGGCTATTTGTTTTATTTTATAATGYGATTTAACTGTTTATAWAAATCCTTTTTTTGATTTTTGATATTTACAGTATTATTAGAATATAGCAAAACATGAAAATATAAGAATATGAAGTTTACCTCACCCATAGTATTCTGCATCAGTATTACTTTCGTAATTTTTTGGATGTTTTACCGAAGACCATGCACTCTTCGACATTATAWTAATGGCATCATCAATATACATATATATAATTTACTGTCCATTTTATAAAGTATTTAATTTCGTGTTGAGTATAATATAAAGTTTTTTCATTTAATCCACGCGGTAGCGGTTGTTCAGAAGAGTTCATTCCCAAAACTGAGTCACCCCGTCATCATCGTACATCTGACGAATTTCACTAGTGTTAGCTTTTCCTTTACAGAAATTCATCTYGCTTTTCTTGAGTTTCATRCGTCGATTTTGAAACCATATTTTAAGATGTTTTTCAGAGAGTCCAAGTGATTTAGCGAGTTCTAGTCTTCTTGTTCTGGTTAGGTATCTTGAGTACAGGAATTCTTTCTCTAATTCAAGTTGTTGTGTTTGTGTGTAGGCTGTTCTTGATCGAGAACGAACGCTCGCCGAGGTCCATGACGGCCGATGTTTCACTGGAAGAACTGGAAAAYAATGCTAAATGTTATGTTTATGTAATGCATTGTAAAGTTTTTCAATTGTAAATAATTTTATAGTCAGAACTCCAATGCATAAAACATAGTTATATGTTCAATTTCAGTGATCGTTGAGAAATTTCTACAATTTTTGTCTTTCAAGGCCCTAAATAAATGCGCAAATATATAAATTGAATCACGCGAATCCGTTGGACTCTYTCAAATGTACTTATCAGAATGTGTTTCAATCAAACAGCCTTAAGCGCCATGAAAGAAGGCTAAAAACGCATCAACTGAAAAATTTGACAAATCGGCAAAGAAGCTGGCTTTAGTCCATCATGGCATAGAGCAAGAGAGACCAAGAAGATGAATTTTAGTATTGTAACCAGAAAACAATTGTTAGAACAGATAGTAAACTTTACACAGATGCAATTGAATGAAAAATTATCGAAAAATCAGTGAGATTAACTCCTACTTTCTAATGGAAACATTATTCAATTGGAGATGATCTTCTACATATCTAAATCAGTCATAA